CAACAAATCTGTCATGTTATCAATAAATATTGGTATCTTCTTAAAGCCGACCAGGCTGTGTCCACATGTGTAAGAGACAAGGAGGAAATAGTATACCACAGGAATAGATCTATTAGAGATGTACAGGTTCAGAGTCATTTTGTTAGAACAGGTAGGGAAGACCTATGCCGCCATAAAGGAAAATTTATATGCAGTGGTTGTGCATACTGCCAGTGCCTCTCTCAAGGAAAAAAACATATGCTACCTAATGGGGAGTTGCATGAAGCTAGACACTATGTTAACTGCCAAACTACGGTGATCATTTATATGATTACTTGCAGTTGTGGCAGCTTCAGTGTTGGTAAGACCAAACGTAGGTTTTGGAAAATAATTTATGATCATGTGTGAGCTATTCAATTAGGGGACATTTCATCCCCCACAGGAAGACATGGAACATGGTATCACGGTAAGAATCTGCAATGTGTAAGGTTTTGTTTTGCCCTGGAAAGGGTTCATTTGGATCCCAGAGGAGGTGATTGGGATCATCGTATTCTTCAGAAGGAAGCCAAATGGATACACTGTCTGGCTGCAACTCATTCTCTGGGTCTAAATGACTCACTAAGTTTTAAACCATTTCTATCATAAGTCATGTTTTATGGATAGTTTCCAACTGAATTACCTATCCCTGGGGTATTCAGCCATCATTTTAAATTTGCTTAGTGCAGAATCCATCCTACAGAGGCTATGAATGGTGGCAAAAATATATGAAAAGATTATGTTCAGTCTAAGAGAAGGTCCCAAAGGAGCCATGACCATGGGTTTCCCCTTTTCCTTTTTTTTTTTCTTCTGAGTTTTGTTTTCGTTTTCCTTGGTTTCGGATTTGTTTTGTTGAGTTATGTTTTTATTTTGTTTGGTTTTGTTTTCTCCCTTTTTTTTCTGTATTTTGTTTCTCTCTTTTGTTGTCTGTTTTTCTTTCTCTTTCTTTTCTCATTTTCTTTTGTTGTTATGCTCTAGGATCTGGCCTGGGAAGGGACTTGATGGTGGTCTGGGTGGACATTGCGGGGTGGCAGTGACTCCCTGTAGTGTTTGTGCCTTTGAGTTATTTATCTGCTGATATGTCCACGGCATGATGACGTAGATCCTTGATGTCGGACATCGTGACATTGGACGTCACAACGTGACACACACATGATGATGTCATGATCATGCATGTGCAATAGGGCCAGAACACCGTTTATGGTGCCCTTTCCACCATTTAAGCACCTATGGTAGGAGAAAGGATTTCTTATGCTGGGCTCCATTATGGAATGTGCATATTAGTACACTTATCATCCTTGAGTGCATCTATGGAGTTTGGAGTCTCACTTTGGAAAGTTTTGTGATTATGGTAAACATTGTTGTTTACCACTATGGTATGTATATACTTTTTTTTTCTCCTCTTGGCAAGGTAATTAATCGGGCTTGATTTACCCAGATGAAAATAGGAGAACCATTGTTTTTACGGATGGAGATTTCTATTATGGAGTATCCTGACTTTATACATGGTGTCCCAATTTATTGTATTGAAACTAGTTTGGGGAGTGGGGATGTAGTTTGGAAAGTTGTGGGATGCAGTAAGATGAGTGAATTTGTATATTGAATAATTTTATACTTACAAGGTGGTCTCTTTTTTCCTCCCTTCTCCTTTTTTCTTTTTTTTTCCCCTCCCTTTTTCCCTTCTTTATTATTACCTGTATCTTTTCTGATTCCAGTCTCTTTATTTTGTTTTTTCCTCTCCCACCTGGGCATTGTCATTGCTAGTTACATCCTGTAGTAGACTTATGTGAGGAGGTCCAGGAATATGGAAAATTGTTATCATACTTACCGTAACTTTCCTTTGCTTGATCCTCCTCACGTCTCCCACCCTTCATTTCCGTCACGAGGCTTGTGATGGAACACCTGAGGGGGATTAGCTTAGATTTATGGGCTAGTTATGGGTTGCCCTGGAGGGGTCAGGAGGGTGGAGCTGACCCATAGTAGGCTGATGTGAGGCGGATCCAGGAAAGGAAAGTTACGCTAAGTATGATAAAAAATTTTCCATTATACATATAGATATATATATATATTATTTGAAAAAACAGGCTCACTCTTTTAAATGACATTTACAGACTTGCCAACAGAGGCATTTACTATAGTACTTCCCAAAAACCAACAAGTGAAGGCACGTTTTAGGTTTCCTAGTCTGGACATGCTCAGTCATGTCACTGCTGATTTGTTTGAACTAGTTGAAGTCAATAACTGTTTGGATTTTTTGTAATACAGTGTATGTCACTTTATACATATACATTTAGAATTCTTTTAAAGAAGTTATTCTTTAGAATATTAAAAATATATATAGGAAGCATAAATTGCTTGAGATCATGTCGTTAAATAGATTTTTCTCTGCTGTGCACCTAGTTGTAAGAGGTGAACTTATTTAGACAGTCATTTAGTTTTTTGACTATTACTAAATTCTGAATTGTGTCTCTTTGTTGACTGAGTGCTTTAGTAAATATCTTCTCCATCTAAAAAATAGACAGTCATGCAAGGAACTGGGACCATTTGCAGACAAGGTGTTTTAGTAAATCAACTCCTGTGTCCAAAGTGACATGACACGTTGCACAATTGTGAACAGAGCCTTATGGTTAAAAATAATCACGTTATTATGCAAATGCATGTAATTTTTTTGCTGTGATTATTTGTTAACTGACAACCACACAAATTGTTTGATAACCAATTTCCAGAATCAATATCTGCTTCAGAGAGACTGAAACCAACTAGCCCAAGTAGAAGATGGAAAAAGATGGAAAAACAAGGGCTGAGGTACAGAAAGTTTTATTTACATTGTGGGGTTAGCTCAGGTGGGGGAATCTCCTTCCCTGGGAAAAAGGTAGACCGCACAGCAGGCTTTCATCAAAATCTGACTGGTTGTCAGTTTTATTTAGAAAGGTTTGCAGAAAATATCAAAATAAACAAAACATCAAAATAAACCCTTGCCATCCAGGCACTAACTAAACAGAAGACGTTTCCTCTCTCAGAGGTGAAGGGCTTCTCCCTGTCACCCAAAACAAAGTAACAGCAAACCTTTTCTTTGTAGGTATAGTACACACACAGCTCTCTCAGAATACCTCTCTGAGTCCCAGGCCACGAGCAACTCCTTGCTCCAGCCCTGCCCTTTTTGTATCACCTGTTGGTGGTCATCAGTGGAGCCCAAACTCTGGTCCGGAACCACCTCTGCCATTGTGGCCCCAAAAACCCGGAGTGGACTCCACCTTACACCTCACAGTATGACCTCATGCGAGGTGCCACATATCGTCCATCCATCACTTTGCCGTTCATACTGTCACAACATGCATACAGTATATATATATTGTATCTGCTGGATCTCACTAGGGCTTATGTATAAAAAAACAGCGGCAATAAAAATTGCAATCAAAAAGGAAAGCACTAGGAAAATGAAACAAGAAATCTAATTGAGAAATGGTGTTACTTTTATTTCAGTTTTATTTTGCTCAAATACTTATATATCAGTATTAGTTCACCCACACTTGGACAGATCTTCCTAGATGAGAAATCTACCATTTCTTACAATGAGTGCTGCACGTGTACTTCAATTTTTCAGTATATATTCAATAGAAAGATCATTGTCTCTTTTAAGGGGAAAGATCTTTTCACAGTGTTTGGGGTCAATTCAGTAAACCATACATTACCATGTGTCATTGATCCTTTTTACACTTGATAATTATAATTTTACTTAAGTATTGCATGATAAGCTGCATTTACTTCATGCATGTAATCTATTTTGGGGGATTTTGTATGTAAAGTCAATTCCAAACAGCTATGACACTAGTTTTCACTCTCTGGAGATAAAATAAGGATTTGTGAGACAATATAAGTAATAACAAAGGAAAGCATAGAATTGTTATTTTCTATAAATAATTTCATAAGAAACGTATGATTAGATAAAATTAGGAACACAGGGAAAATAATTCCGCCACTTAAGAGATATAATCATTTTGTTTGTAGTGATTGCATGCATGCTTAAAAGCCTCTGTGGTCAATACTACAGACTTTAATGGCACCCAAAGTGCTTGATATTGTTCAGTGCTTAGTTCAAAAACACAACTATCAAAAATGCGGGGGGGGGATTTACTAAAACTGGAGCACACAGAATCTGATGCAGATGTGCATGGAAGCCAATCAGTGTCTAGCTTCAGCTTGTTCAATTAAGCTTTTACAATAAGTCCTTATGCATACTGGAATTTTTACAGCTGCTGTTTTTGGCTTTGTGCGCTGTTTTCTACAGCCAGTAAACTCCCCAGCATGTTATCCCATGTGTACACACACATATAGGCTTTAACCACTTGCCTACCAGGCACTTATACCCCCTTCCTTACCAGGCCAATTTTCAGCTTTCAGCGCTGCCGCACTTTGATTGGCAATTGCGGTCATGCAACATTGTACCCATATGAAATTTTGATCATTTTTTTCTCACAAATAGAGCTTTCTTTTGGTGGTATTTAATCGCCACTGGCGCTTTACTTTTTGCGCTATAAATAAAAAAGTGCAAAAAATTTGAAAAAAAAAAAAAAAGTTTATTTGTTTCTTTTATAAAATTTTTCAAACAGGTATTTTTTCTCCATCACTGATGTGCGTTGATGAGGCAGCACTGATGTGCACTGATAGGTGGCACTGATGGGCACTGATAGGCAGCACTAAAGGGCACTGATAGGCAGTACTAATGAGGTGGCACGGATAGGCGGCACTGATAGACAGCACTAATTAGGGGTCACGGATAGGCGGCACTGATATGCAGCACTGATATGCGGCACTGATAGGTGACACTGATTATGGGTACTGATAGACGGCACTGACTGGCATCACTGCTGGGCACTGACTGGCGGCACTGACTGGCACAACCCCTGGGCACTGACTGGTGGCACTGACTGGCAGCACTGCTGGGCTGCACTGGTGGGTGGCACTGGTGGGCAGCACTGGTGGGTGGGCACAGGTGGGTGGCACTGGTGGGCACAGGTGGGTGGCACTGGTGGGCACAGGTGGGTGGGCACAGGTGGGTGGCACTGCTGGGCACATGTAGGTGGCACTTCTGGGCACAGGTAGGTGGCACTGCAGAGTTGCACAGGTGGGTGCACTGCTGGGCACAGGTGGGGGCACTGCTGGGCACAGGTGGGTGCACTGCTGGGCACGGGTGGGCGGAGCTAGTGGGCGCACTGCTGGGCGGAACTTGCGGGTGTCACTGCTGGGCACCGATCATCAGGGCACTGATCATCAGTGCCCTGATGATCGGTGCCGATCCCCGCTCTGACAACTGCCGGTTCTCGGCAGTACTTTCCTCACGATCTGACAGCGTGAGGAAAGTGCAGCCGAGAACCGGCACTTGCATTTCCCTGTGATCAGCGTGTCATTGGACACCGCTGATCACGTGGTAAAAGGCCGGTATGATCGGCCTTTTACCACATCTCGTGATCAGCTGTGTCCGTAGGACACAGCGATCACGGAGATCGCCGGGTGCGCATTTTGGGGAATTTTTTTTAGCAAAAAATGTTTTTTTTTTTGTGTAAAAAACACTAAAAAAAAACCAAATGCGGAAAAATGCAGCTAAATGCTAATGCAAAAATGCTAACAAACACTGAAAAACATGTGTTTTTAATGCGACTTTACATAGCTAACGCTACCAGATTTTTAAAACGCCCAGTGTGCATGGTGCCTAAAAATTGGAAGCTGATTGGTTTCTATACAGAGCTGCACCAGATATTGCACCATGTAGTTTTAGTAAATGACCCCCAAAGTATCAAAGCTAAACATCAGGCAAAGAAGTGAACTACACCCATGAAATAGATATATTTGAGCTGTATCTAGACTTGAGATCGTTCACACCAGATGCCATGCTGATTGCATAACCGCTGGTGAACACTGGGGGGAAACAGTGCCAATGTACCAATCCTCAAGCATTGCACTTTTTTATTTTTTTGTGTTAGAACATTATTGAAATATTACATTTTAGTAAAGCGGCTTTAAATTTGAAAGCAAGCATTTATTACATTGCAGCTTACCAATTCTTAGATGCGATGGCCACATTGGTTTTCTTTTTAAGGCTTTCATCCTTCAATTTTTATCTGGTGACTCAGCCAGTAAGTCTGTTGTTTTTCAAAAGAACAAGCTTTCTTGCAGTAACAGGGGTGAGACAAACCACTTAACATTGACAGTTTACCATGATCAGCTTTTCTGTATGTCCTTTATATTCCAAAAGATAAAAACTATTTGCTGTAACTGATTATAAAGTATTAGCTGGAGTTCAGCTTCAATTTGTTAATGTGTTTAAATCTGCTAGTATATTTAACACTCTCTTCCCTCCAGACTAACAATGCTGTTGTCCAAAGGTGCCCCTGTGCTCATTCATCCAGATTGTAGAAACTCTAATACAGGGTGTGTGTTACTGGACAGATTACCAGGTAAAAACAAAGAGAAACTAGTCTAAAAAAGTAAAAGAGACTCCATTATCTAATCTAGTGATTGGTAAGCTGCAATATATTACATTTTTTGTTTTGGGGCTTAATACTGCTTTAAGTTACTGTATATTCACTACAAAGGAGATGTGATTTGGTGGTTTGGGTTGCAACCCACCCAATGCAGTAATTTTTTCAGAACAAACTACCACAACACAGTTGTGTGAATGGACACCACGGAAAACAAAGAGATTGCCCTATCTTTGCATTGGGAATAGCAATCCCAACAGAAATGTGAACAGGCCCTTACACTGCCCCCTAACACTGCATAGCCATGTGGATGACACTATCTAGGGCTCATTTATATCATGTGTACAGACCTACATTTCCCTTCACATGATCAAAGAAAATCTGTGCAAGGGCACATTGAAACAATAGTTTTCTATGTGCCATGCTTGCACTATAGCACAGCAGTGATGTGCAGTGTGCAAAAAATGCAGAATGTTTGCAATATTCTGCAACACACATGGACTCCTTAAAAATGCACATGAAAGCAATGCATGTAAAATAATGTGATAGGGGAAAGCACTGAAAAATACATGTTAATGAATATCAATGAATGCATTTTTTCATGAGTTTTTAAGCATGTTCCTTTCCATCAAAAGCCTCCTAATTGGACAGGACAGAGACTGCTGAGATGATCCCTCTGCTCACTTTTCCCTCTCATATCAGCATGTTCCATGTCAACATATTTTCATGCAACACAGTTGATTGGCTCCCTGTGTTCACATCCCCCCTCCCAGTCTGAGCGCTGCTATACAAGGGGGTTACAAGAGGCTGATATCAAGCCAAATGCAGGTGCCTCTGATAATTGCATTTAAAAGAAAGAAAACATTGGGGATGATTTACTAAAATGGGTGCACTCAGAATCCGGTACTGGAATCACCTGGGAACTGGGATCACCTTTCCTGGGGTAAAGAGACACACTGGGGTTGATTTACTAAAACTGGTGCACTCAGAATCCGGTACTGGGATCGCCTAAGAACTGGGATCACCTTTCCTGGGGTAAAGGGACACACTGGGGTTGATTTACTAAAACTGGTGCATTCAGAATCCAGTACTGGGATCACCTGGGACCTGGGATCACCTTTCCTGGAGTAAATGGACACACTGTGGTTAATTTACTAAAACTGGTACACTCAGAATCCGGTACTGGAATCACCTGGGAACTGGGATAACCTTTCCTGGGGTAAAGGGACACACTGGGGTCGATTTACTAAAACTGGTGCATTCAGAATCTGGTACTGGAATCACCAGGGAACTGGGATCACTTTTCCTGGGGAAAAGAGACACCATGGGATTGATTTACTAAAACGGTTGCACTCAGAATCCGGTACTGAATCACCTGGGAACTGGGATCACCTTTCCTGGGGTAAAGGGACACACTGGGGTTGATTTACTAAAACTGGTGCACTTAGAATCCGGTACTGAGTTCACCTGGGAACTGGGATCACTTTTCCTGGGGAAAAGAGACACACTGGGATTGATTTACTAAAACTAGTGCTCTCAGAATCCGGTACTGGGTTCACTTAGGAACTGAGATCACCTTTCCTGGGGTAAAGGGATACATGGGAGTTGATTTACTAAAACTGGTGCACTCAGAATCCGGTACTGGAATCACCTGGGAACTGGGATCACCTTTCCTGGGGTAAAGGGACACACTGGGGTTGATTTACTAAAACTGGTGCACTCAGAATCCGGTACTGGAATCACCTGGGAACTGGGATCACTTTTCCTGGGGAAAAGAGACACCATGGGATTGATTTACTAAAACTGGTGCACTCAGAATCTGGTACTTGGTTCACTTAGGAACTGGGATCACCTTTCCTGGGGTGAAGGTACACACTGGAGTTGATTTACTAAAACTGGAGAGTGCAAAATCTGGCACAGCCGTGTATTGTAGCCAATCAGCTTCTAACTTCAGCTTGTTCCTTTAAGCTTTGACAATAAAACCTGGAAGCTGATTGGTTTCTATGCAGAGCTGCACCAGATTTTGCACTCTCCAGTTTTAGTAAGTAACCCCCATTGAATTGTTGAATAATGACTACCAAGCTACAATAATGTGTGCCTTGAATTCAGCTTTATTATCTCCTTTGCACTCTTTGTTGTCCTAATTCACTTCAGGGTCATTGGAATATTCTGCAATCTTTTGACTTTTGCTGTTCAGTATTTGGCTCTTTGTGACTTCTCTTGACCATCAATAGTAACTGATGTGTCGGTCCCTGTCCTTACTGTCAGCCAGCTATCTGCATCCTAGCCACTTTGCGTTCTTCGCAGCACCTCGGACAGCTCCTGAAGAAAGGCTCATCTATTTCTGTCAGTCTGAGGACGTGATGAGACAGTACAACCAATACCAGCTCACCCTCACACCCAAATCTCCAATTAGTATGGAGAGAGGCGGGACTGTTGTCTTGCCGCCTTTCTCTAGAGCAGGCTGCTGCTGTACACTGTGTACAATGGTAGAGAAGGGGTTCTACTCAGCAAGGCATCCTCAGCATTCCTTCAGGTGTACAAGGTCCTTGTACCTCTCTGCTGGCCACAGAGATCACAGAGTAGTCAAATCTTGTGTTCTTCTCAATCCGGCCTTGCTTTTTTACAGATACAGGGCACCGTTATTCACTTTTTTGCATCTACAAATGTAAGGCCTTATTCACTCCGGCACTGTCAAACCTGTGTTTTTATGCATTTAGAGGACATTTTTAAATGTAGGTATAGATTTTTCAGTGGTGCCATTCACTTTGTGCATTTGCCTGTGTTTATGTGAAGTCACTTTAGCTGCATTTAGAAAAAATAGAATTCTCTGCACCCAGGATCCAATACGTCTAAACCTGCAGGAACTTCTAAACACAAGAAAAGTGATCTGGGAAGCATAAAAGTTGTTTATTTAAACGCAGGAGTGTCCATGTGAACGAGGCCCTAGAGCATAGTAAACATGTTTATACTACTGTCTGTTTTAATGCTGTTATTTGACATAGACTTACTGTACACAATGTCTGTTAACCCTTTTACTGCTGCCAGTGAAAGTACTAACTTTCATGATATAGCTATCTGACATCACCAAGGGACCACCCATGCACCAGGAGATGGTAAAGTCCATGGGCTGCTACAGGAGATGGTCAGAGACTGCAAATATGTTGCAGGAGATGGTCAGAGACTGCAAATATGTCCCAGGAGATGGTCAGAGACTGCAAATATGTTGCAGGAGATGGTCAGAGACTGCGAATATGTTGCAGGAGATGGTCAGAGACTGCAAACATGCTGCAGGAGATGGTCAGAGACTGTGAGCATGCTGCCAGTGATGGTCAGAGACTGCAAACATGCAGTAGGACAGGGGTGTCAACTGGCGGCCCTCCAGCTGTCATGGAACTACAAGTCCCATCATACCTCTGCCTTTGGGAGTCATGCTTGTAACTGTCAGCCTTACAATGCCTCATGGGACTTGTAGTTTAGCAACAGCTGGAGGGCCGCCAGTTTGATACCCGTGCTGTAGGAGATGGTCAGAGACTGCAGACATGCTGCTGGTGATGGTCAGAGACTGCAAACATGCTGTCAGAGATAGTCAGAGACTGCAGACATGCTGCCGGAGATGGTTAGAGACTGCAAACATGCTGTAGGAGATGGTCAGAGACTGTGGATATGCTGCCGGTGATGATCAGAGACTGCAAACATGCTGTAGGAAATGGTCAGAGACTGTGGACATGTTGCAGGAGATGGCCAAAGAATGCAAACAGGCTGCACGAAATGGCCGGAGACCACAAACATGCTTCACAAGACAAATCTAGACTGGAAAAACACAAGGTGAGTCAGGTATAGACCCTTCACAAATCAATGCTTCTACAGCCCACTTAAAATAGAGTTGTGATATTTCTTTCAGC